TAAACAGAAATAGTCTCAGAGACACAGAGGAAAAAGTGAGGGTTGCTAGTTGGGAGGGGGTGGGGATGAAGGAGAAGGATGAAACAATACAAATTGGTACCTACAATATGGCCTCAGGGATAGAAAAGACAGTCTGGGGAATATAATCAATAATGTTGCAAATATATTTTAGGGGACCAGATGGACTCATGTCTTGTTAGGGAGACCACTTCATAGTCAGTGTAGAGGTCTGACCACCACATTGTATTTCTGAAGCTGATGTTGAATAATAATGTATGTCAACTATAATTATATATACATATAGTCACAGGACATGGAGTAGAGAGCAGGAATGGAGTCAATGGAATTATAATAGATAAGCATGATATCGGGGGTGGGAGGGCAATAGATGGGGGAAGGGGGTTGTTTCTGTGTGAAGGGTGAAAAGGATAACTATTGCATTGTTCTGTACACCTGAAACTAACAATAAAAAATAATTACCTTTTTAAATAATATGCCAATATTATTACAAGAATAAGTAAAAAACATTTTGTTAGTTGTTTTGCATGCAAACTGTTTCCCAAGGAGAGGCTGTTATTTGGTAGGCTGGTCCAAAAGACAAAGATACAAAAATGAATTTTAAAAAACAGAAGTGAGTAAACCAATCAATCTGGATACAATATATCTTTTCTGTAAAAATTGGGGAAACTGAGTAGGTGACAGTTAACAGAGAGGTCAATCCGAGTATTCTTTTCTCGAGTGGACAATTATGGGTGTCAAAGAAAATCATTTTAGTTATTTATATTTTCCTCAGAAAATCATAGCTGTGGAACATAAACAATAGACTGTCTCCTTGTAATGTCCCTGTGTGTCCTTCCATCAGCCAGATCTTAGGCCAAATCTATATTATTTTCTTCCTGGAATGCTTCATGTGTTTTAGCAACAAACTTTTGTTGAATCCTTTCTTTTTATTGACAGTAAAGCCCAAAACAGGCAATTTCTCTATTTTAAAAAAACAACAACAGGAATTATGAATTTTATATTATAAATTAACTATGATGCTTAAATAAATAAAATCAGAAATGAAAAAAGCGATATTACAATTGATACCACATAAATACAAAGATCATAAGACTACTATGAACAATTATATGCAAACAAATTGGACAATGTAGAAAAATGGATAAATTCCTAGACACATACAACCTGCCAAGACTTAATCATAATTAAATAGAAAATGTGAACAGACTAATTATTAGTAAGGAAATTGAATCAGTAATCAAAACCTCCTAACAAACAAAGGTCCGGGACCAGACACCTTTACCGGTAAATTCTACCAAACAATCAAATAACTAATACCAATTTTATTCAAACTCTTCCAAAAAATAGAAGAGATGTGAACACTTCTAAACTCACTTTAGGAAGCCAGTATTACTCTGATACCAAAACCAGACAAGGATGCTACAAGAAAAGGAAGTTAAAGGTCAATATTCCTGGTGAACATAGATACAAAAATCCTCAAGAGAATATTAGCAAGCCAAATTCATTAAAAGGATACGATACATTAAAAGGATCATACACCNATATATACATATAGGCATGGGATGTGGAGTAGAGTGTGGGAATGGAGTCAATGGAATTGTAATAGATAAGCATGATATCGGGGGTTGGAGGGCAGTAGATGGGGGAAGGGGGTTGTCTCTGTGTGAAGGGTGAAAAGGATAACTATTGCATTGTTCTGTACACCTGAAACTAACAATAAAAAAAATTACCTTTCTAAATAATATGTCAATATTATTTACAAGAATAAGTCAAAAACATTTTGTTAGTTGTTTTGCATGCAAACTGTTTCCCAAGGAGAGGCTGTTATTTGGTAGGCTGATCCAAAAGACAAAGATACAAAAATGAATTTTAAAAAACAGAAGTGAGTGAACCAATCAATCTGGATACAATATGTCTCTTCTGTAAAAATTGGGGAAACTGAGTAGGTGACAGTTAACAGAGAGGTCAATCTGAGTATTCTTTTCTCGAGTGGACAATTATGGGTGTCAAAGAAAACCATTTTAGTTATTTATATTTTCCTCAGAAAATCATAGCTGTGGAACATAAACAATAGACTGTCTCCTTGTAATGTCCCTGTGTGTCCTTTCATCAGCCAGATCTTAGGCCAAATCTATATCATTTTCTTCCTGGAATGCTTCATATGTTTTAGCAACAAACTTTTGTTGAATCCTTTCTTTTTATTGACAGTAAAGCCCAAAACAGGCAATTTCTCTATTTAAAAAAACAACAGAAATTATGAATTTTATATTATAAATTAATTATGATGCTTAAATAAATAAAATCAGAAATGAAAAAAGCGATATTATAATTGATACCACAAAAAAACAAGGATCATAAGACTACTATGAACAATTATATGCAAACAAATTGGACAATGTAGAAAAATGGATAACTTCCTAGACACATACAACCTGCCAAGACTTAATCATAATTAAATAGAAAATGTGAACAGATTAATTATTAGTAAGGAAATTGAATCAGTAATCAAAAACCTCCTAACAAACAAAGGTCCGGGACCAGACACCTTTACCGGTAAATTCTACCAAACAATCAAATAACTAATACCAATTTTATTCAAACTCTTCCAAAAAATAGAAGAGACATGAACACTTCCAAACTCACTTTAGGAAGCCAGTATTACTCTGATACCAAAACCAGACAAGGATGCTACAAGAAAAGGAAGTTAA